AGTAGAACAAACTAACCTGTCCATCATACATGGTAACCTATTCTCCCTCTCAGCAAGAGAAGCTGTACTCAACGTAGCAACAATCCTTGATTCAGTGCACCATTGTTAAGGTCCTATGGTGTACAACAGATCATTCAGCTTGCTCTTTCTACATATGTTCCACTTTGTATAATTTGACTTGCCCCTTCCATTTCTTCTCCCCATTTCTGACCCCAGTAACCAGCGTTTATTCTCTGTGTTTATATATTTGCCTTTATTTAGATTCCTTAAATAAGTACAGTCCTGTAATGTTTCAATAGATGTCTAGAAACATGGAAAAAATGAGTAATATACATATTTGCCATAATATCTTGCCAAATGAAATAAGGCATATAATTTCTCATGCCAATTTAAATTAATTTTCAAACAGATAAAACAAAGTAACTTGAAGAAAAAGTAGGCAGTTTTTTAATGGTTTTGTCAAAACATGTTGTCTGCATTTTAACATCTTTCACATGATGTGGATTTCTTAAACTGACATACTGATTTTGTTTTTCATTCATCAAATTATTATTAACTGCCTACTATATACAAGGCTCTTGTATGAAAAACCGCTCCCCTTATGGCATCTCTATTCTAGTGGACAAAAAAATGAGCAAGCAGATTTCAACATAAAAAAGTATATCTTATTTTGGAAGGTGGTAAGTGATACAGGAAAATTATACAGCATAATCAGAAGAGTGAATGGACAATCGTTCCAGTGAAAGCTGGTCCAATTCCAATCCAGATCCCTGCTAATGTGCCCAGGAAATCAGTGGAAGATGGAATAGTTCCTTGATGGAGTTTCAAGCTCCCAGCTTTAACTTGGCTCAACTCCAGCCATTTTGGCCCTTGGGAAGAGACCCAGCAGATGGAAGATCTTTCTCCCTCTCCCTCTCCCCTTGCCCTCCTCCTCTCCCTTTCTCTGTAACTTTCACTTTATAAGATTTATTGAACCAAAAGGCAAAGAGTAAATGTGCTGATGAGATGCACATTGGGAGTTGTATGGCAAAAGTATTTGGGTAGTGGCCAACGCTGTGGTGCAGAAGGTTAAAGCCCTGGTCTGCAGTGCCAGAATCAAATATGGGCACTGGTTTGAGTCCCAGCTGTTCCACTTCCAATCCAGCTCTCTACTATGACCTAGGAAAGCAGTAGAAGATGGCCCAAGTCCTTGAGCCCCTGCACCTGGCTTCAAATCAGCCTAGCTCTGGCTTTTGTGGCCATCTGGGGAGTGAACTAGCAGATGGAAATCCTTTCTCTCTGCCTCTGCCTCTGAGTCTGCCTCTCTGTAACTCTGCCTTTCAAATAAATAAATAAACCTTTAAAAATGTATTTGGGAAAAAATTACATAGTACATGGTTTTAGTACTTAAGGAGCCATCAATATATGGTGTTGTTTCCCCCATATCTAGGAAAAATTGTATAGGAAGCCAAGTATCAGAAACAAGGATTTGCTATTGTGAGAAAGGAGATCTTGTGGCTGGAGTGGTTTTTTTTATTTTTTTTTTATTTATTTTTTTTTTTATTTGAAAGACAAAGAAAGGTAGAGACAGAGAAAGAGAGTTCTTCCATTTGCTGGTTCACTCCCCAAATGGCCACAACAGCCAGAGCTGGGATGATCTGAAGTCAGGAGCTTCTTCCAGGTCTCCCATGTGGGTGCAGGGGCCCAAGGACTTGGGCCATCCTCCATTGTTTTCCCAAGCCACAGCAGAGAGCTGGATTGGAAGTGCAGCAGCCAAGACTCAAACCAGTGCTCATATATGAGGTTGGTGCTACAGGCTGGGGCTTTAACCTACTGTGCCAGAGCAATGGCCTTATAGCTGGAGTTTTGCCCAAGGTGAAGAGGAGACTGATGTCAGAGCTCTGAGCTATGCATTTGGAGGTTGAGCTGGAGGCAAAGAGTGAAGACGCTGACTTCTTGATGGGCTCAATGCTTGAGATGAAGAGAAAAAGAAAGTGGAGATAAAGTATATATTCAGCATTCCCAGCTTGAAGACTGGGGATAGAAAATTAAGACAAGTACTGAGAAAAGATAGAATGTGATGTAATATGTATAGATTGCAATATTGTTGTATGTGGAAAACAAAATTTTAGGGTATGTTTAGTTTTGGATGAATTTGAGATTCAAAAAAGATGAAATGGTGATTCTAAAATGGATAAATGTATTTTTCAATTTTATTTAAGGTATACAAATCTCATGTATTTCATATACACAGATTTAGGAACACAATGATACTTTCCAACCTTCTCTCTCTCCCACTCATGCTCCAGCCTTCTTCCTCTTCTCTCTCCAATTCTCACTCTTAATTTTTCCAAAGATCTATTTTCACTTTATATTCATAAGGTTAACCCTTCACTAAGTAAAGAGATTCAAGAAATAGTATGAAGAAAAAAAAAAAAAAACACTGTTCCTCAACAGTAGAGAAAAGGTTTGTAAACAATCATTGAATCTCAAAATGTCCAGTTCACTCTAACACATTATATTTTAGGTACTCTATTAGTTTCACAGATCAGGGAGAACATATGCTATCTGTATTTTTGGAATAAGTATATTTTTATATTTTAATTTATGGAAATATGAAACTATACAATGAAGCTGAAAATATGCTTTGTTATGAATTCAAAGTGAGGATGTGAGTCTATAACATAAACTGAAAGCATCCACAGTCAGGAAGGTGAATACCAAGATAGGAGGAGAAGGAAGAACAAAGTGAAGAAAGATTTTTGAAAGAATCGTGTGTCAGAAATCAAAAGAATAATATTCTGAAAAAGGAGATCATTATCTCTTGGGGATAGTGCTCTTGAGAGTTTGAGTAAAGATCATTGGAAATCTACATGTAGCATTATTTTTCTATGCACCTGACCTAGTTCATGGGTAACCTAAACAAAATAATTTTCAAAGGCTTTCTTTGGAGCCAAAAGCCAGGTGAAGGTGGATTGAGGTATGAATGTGGAGGGAAGATGTGACATCAACCTATTCAGATATTTTTAATGTAAGTTTTGCAACAGATATCAGGTAAAGGTGGTTGCAGGCTAAAATAAGGGGCAGATGACAAAACATATGGTTATTGCTGAAACATATTGCCATTGTGAAGTTTTATTCATAGTAAATATGATAGAGAATTCATAGTGTCAAATATAAGAGCTTAGATTTTAGCAATATAAAATATTACTAACAAGTCTAAAAGAAATGTTATATATATTCTATTATATATAACATTTAATATAATAATTTAACAATAATATTATATTCCTTATAGATTAACTTGGCAACCAGCTTTGGTCAAACCAACATAGAATCAAGAATGAATGGGGTGCCTATATGTAGTGCAAGTTATTTTGTATTGTATTTTTAGAGATGTTCAAATTATTTTCTCTGGTGTTCTTCGGCTTACAAACTGTTTCAACATTTCTACACCTGGCATGAAGGGATTAGACAACGGTTTTCAACAAGGGATTTGAAGTAAGGGTGAAGTAATTCTATGGCTTACCACTAGAGGACAGAAGAGGGTTAGGCAACATGTGAGGAAAGCTATTAAGCAACCAGTCCTCCTGGAGGCTAGGACAGGCTTCTCTTCCATGAGGAAGTCAGAAATCAGAACCAGACAACAGTTTTGACAAAGCTCATTATTTTTAATTAAAATGAGAGAGCAGAAATACTTCCCAGAGTCACAGTTTGTTTGCATTTCAAAGGTGTAAGCAATTTTCACTTTATCACCCTGTACTTAGACTTTTACTGTAGCTATCACTTAATTCTGCATTATGTGTATTGGTTTCTTAGGCTTGGAACTATATGTATAAGTTTTGAAGTCTGGCATTGTATCTCAGTTTGAGCAGTTCTTTCTCTTAGTTGACTCTCTAGAGATTAGATTTCAACTCTCAACATTACCACAGTAGAGAGAGGCAACAAAAAAGATACTCCCAGATTAATGATTAGGGAAGCAAGGATACCAATAAAGGGCACTCATATTCCTCCACACATTTGGTATGGTCAAGTTTAATGCCACAGCCAATGCCTAGGAAATCCGTGGGTGTACATATAAAGTTTATTCTCCTGGTGAAGGAAGTACAGAGAGAATGATTTGTATTCACTGTGTAATGCATGCCATTAGTTACATGCTATTGTGTATTATTTCACTAAATATTCTCAAAAATTCTGTCACATGGAGATTCTTCTCTTTAGTTTGCAAATAAAGGAACCAAAGGAAGGTTTAGCAATGTGCCTAATATCATGCAGCTAGTATACATTGAAGCTATTAATGTATTACTCAAGATGAGATGTACACAGAAACTGATTTTATTCTTATGCTATTGCCAGCCATAGGAGAGAGAGTACAGAGGAAGCTGGAAAGTGCCCCTTCATGAAATATGCAGCGGGGGGAGTTAGAACTGGGGTGGGGGAGATCTGAGTATATGTTTGCTAATTAGCCTTACCAAAGGAAAACTAAGCTTCCTCTAACCTTCACAGCAGGACATAGATTCACAACAAGGCAGCTGGGATTCTCCTGCCTTAAGATTTCTTTCAAGTAGATGGCTCTGGCCCTTTGACAATGAAAGTCCTGTATTGTGAAAGTGACAAGAGTCTTTTCAAAGGTATTTATCAAGAAAGTGTTCTAAAGTAAATGCTCCAAGAAAAAGAAGGTCAGGGACTTAGAGAGCAGGGACTCCCTAAATTTTATTACCCAAAGTGAGACCCAGGTACACCAATTTAAATTTAGCCAACACAGCTACTACTGTGTGAACAAGGACACTTTCTTTAGATCAAGGGTACTTGAAAAACAACTCCCAACTTCACCTCTTCCAAAGGTTGCACAGAAGCAAAATCTCCCCTTATTTAATGTCATGAACCAAAGAAGAGTGGATGGGAATCCATGCTGGGTACCCTTGGCTCTGTGGAATTTTCTCTTGCAAAATAATGATCTCAGAGACTTCCAAGGCTTTTCTAAATCTGCTTACATCGATTTTTTTTTCCCACTAACTTAGGGAATAAAGGTGAACGTGGTTCTACATTCTGAGGGCAATAGACTGAATTCATGTAAGTTGACATATCCAGAGCCTAAAATAGGAAACCTTCAAGTAGATCATCGATTGCTGATTCAGATAACAAGGTAATGTCTTTTCTTAGGTTTGTGCAGCAAGGAAAGTATAACAGGATTATTCCTGAAGAGGATGGAGGGTATAGAGGTGGATGGAGGCAAGTCATAGCTGATGTAAACTTTCCAGAAGCATTAAGTAAAGATCTAGAATACTGGAAGGCAGACAATTTGTTTCACACACTCATGTTTTCTCAATAATTAGGGATGCTTGTGAGGGTCAATTAATTTTCCAGCCTATCTCATGCAAAATAAAGGAGAAAACACAACACCCACATATAATAACACCAGTAACAAAACGTTCCTTCCTATACGCACCAACTTCACTTCCCACTTGTTCCCGCTAGTGGAAAAATACCATAAAATTAAGAAAATATTTATTTAGACTTGTTTCTTTTGTCTATATGAGATAATATGAGAGTCCATTTTTGCAGTAAAGTTAATTATAGAGAGTCATTAAACTACTAGTGTGAATAACCAAAGAATAAAAATGAAAAAGTTAAAGTACAGGAAGAGGAGTGGCCCTTTAGCCTATAGATTCAAACATCAGTTAGAATGCTGTGTCTCATCTCCAAGGATCTGTTTAGTGCCCAGCTTCTCTCTTCAGCTTCCTGCTATTGCAGGCTCTGGCAGTCAGCAGTGATGTCTCAAGTAATTGGGTTCCTGCCACCCCTAAAGGAAAGCTGGACTGAATTTTTGGTTTCCGGCTTCCACCTACCACAGCCCATCCTCTGTGGGCATTGGTGGAGTGAACCAGCAGACGAGGGCTCTATTTTTCTGACTCTTGTCTACTTCTCTATGTCTGGCTCAAATAAACAGGCTAATTAACTAATTTCTTTAAAGTACAGGGAGAGATAAAAAGATAGATTGATGAAAAATATCTAAATTCACAAATTCACTAATAAAAAATTTTTATTAAAACAGCATAGAAAAAATTAAGATCCAGCTGTGCAATTCATTTACAGATTGTCTGCAGTTGCTTTCTCTCTACAACAGCAGAGTGCATGAGCACTCACAACAGAGACTGTAAGCCCCACACTCCTACAATACAATGCTGGTGGGAGGAGTGTGCTAATGCTGCCATAGGGCACCACCAATTCCTAGGCTTGCTGCTCATGGGCAGCATGTTTCTACAGCTAAAAATAATTTTCTGAGTGGTATCATGAAATACTACTTTTATCACCTTCTTTGATATGTTGTTGGATTGGTGTTTTCCTTTTAAAAGCAATATATATTTCTTTACCTTGTTTGAAAAAGGGGGGGGGGGAGAGAATGAATCAATCTCCCTTTGACTGGTTTACTTCCAAAATTCCTACAAACCCACAAAAGTCAAGGTGAGTCAGAGTGAACCCTGGAAACAAGAACTCAACAAGAACTCAACAAGGACCCGACAACTTCAGTCGTCACCTGCTGCTCCCTGCCCAGGGTGTGCATTAGCAGGAGTCTGGAATAGAGAGCAAAGTTGGGACTCCAACCAAGGCACTTAGTAAAGAAGTCGAGATTCCACCCAAGCAGTGGCATAACAGCTGTTCCACATACCCTCTCCTATTGTTAAGAATTTTCATAAAAACAAGAAGTATCCTAGAATGCAAAGAATGAAACAGAAAGCATTTTAACAATTTGAGAACATCATCTCCAAATATTTATAAAGAACTTTATGTAACATAGTTCTCCCATTGTGAAATAAACCTTGATATCCAAAATAATTAAGAATCAAAATACTTTATCCTTATTTGTTAGATAAAAATTTAGAGACAGCTTAAATATTCAATAATACAGATTTTCTTCAGGAAACTTCAAGATTTACTATTTCAAACAGCCATTAAATGTAATATATAAATATAAGATATGTATATGCTTATGGTAATAGAAAATGTTAAACATTATTAAATGTAGAGACAAAGACAAAATTTTTAAATGATTATTTTTATTAGATGAACAGCTAAGACAAGAAAACAGTATAGGAATCAAAATGCAACCAGCAGTCCCTCCTCTCCAGCATTGTGTAAAAATTATTTTTTCCTTTTGCTTTTACTTGGCCATCTTCAATAACAATGAAATATTTATAAATTATAAAAATCTATAATTTTGAAGATAAATGAACACTTCAGTTGTATTCAAGAGTTTTCATGTGTACCCATGTACCTCAGACACACATTAAACTGCACCTGACCAGGAATGACCCCAGACTAATTTCTCAAAGGCTTAAATTGCTTGAGATCCTGTTTCTGGCACAGAAAGAACTCTTCGAGGTATCAGAGTACAGATACGTGGATTTTCTGTCACCTTCTCATTCACTTTCTCAACTAATTTAAAGCTATCCTTTGAGAAAAATTTTAGAGTTGGCTGGAATCAATTTTAAGGTTTATCCTCAAGCATAAAATAGGCTATTACAATATCTAGGTTGACATACAAATAAACATTTTAAGTCTTATCATATTACATCTTCTGAGAACACACATTTGACCTCTAAGAAATAGAAACCATTATTTATTATTATAGAAAACCTCTGCTATTTAACTGACTAAATAGTTTTTAAAAACCCCTGATATCACCAAGTGCTTTGATGAATGATTCGAGGGGATAGAGAGGAAGGTTGAATAGAGAAGAGTGTATCAGCTCTGGTATTTAGTGACTGAAAGAAATCATATTCCTCATGTGTATCAATGCTACTTTTTTTAATGTAGTGGCATCATCCGTATCAATATATGGATAATGAATAGATGGCCCATGAATTAAAGTACAAATTCTCTCACTGTTGTTTATGATTTTATTGATCTGAACCCACCCTATGTTAACATTTTTGCCTGAGCCCTAGAAGTTCAGGCATGAAATTAGAACTTGATTGTAGTTTCTCATTTATTATGATTTGAGAAGCTACTTCTCTACTTTTAAACAATCCCTTCTTTTGTCTACAATCATATATAACTCATATTTTATATGATATATAGTATTTAAGATTAAGATAAAATGCAATATGATTATGCACTGAAATTATCAGGAAACCAGTACAAAAGGAATAAGAATGGGTTTCCTATCTAATAATACAATCAGAATTTATTTAATAAAGTAAACAAACACTTGGATATGTAAGTCTAGTTTATATATCAATGTCTTCATGTTTTTACATATTATTCTTGCAAAAAAATCTGTGCCAATAGCATATTTGCATTCTTATTTTGTTATATGCTTACCTGGAGAAAGTATATACATATGTTAATACTCTAGGGTTCTCAGGTCGTCTTTTTTTCTGATGCAGTCAATTTGTCAAAAATAATTTTGAGAATAAAAGTAAAGCTAATATGACTAATAGACCATATTTCCTCAGCACCCCTTGCTGCAGTGTTTCCAGTTCTCAGAAAGGATGATGCTTCCAAATCTTGGGAGGTAAATAGGAAGGGTAGTGACCTAATATCTCTCCTTATTATCTGTTTGTACCCCTGAGCATTCAACTTTATCTGGAATCTGTCTTAGATACAATCAGGCTTGATAACTAAACAATGGATACTCATTAAGTGTTCTTGGTCCCTAGGCAACCACAGATGTCAATCACTGGAGTTTGAACAGAGCTTTTTCAAATATCGCTTTTTAAAAATCCTTGAATAGCTCAGCTCTCCAAGACTATCATTTTTCCAGGCTTCTTTAGGCTGGAATATATTGTTGTAACTGTGTCAGAACCTGTCTTCTTGCCTTCCATCTCTTCCTTCTCATCTACCTCTTTAAATAAATATCTTAATGATTGCCTATTTCAACCCTGCATATAAAAATCTATAATATGCCTAATTTATGTATTGTACTTATTTGTTATCTTTCTGTATCACCAACTATAATTTTGGTCTATAAAGCCAGGGACAGTTTTATTGTGTTGGAAAATTCCTAAAATATTTAGAGAATATATACTCTTTAAATGACTGGTTCAAAGGAGGAGTGTGTGTGTGTGTGTGTGTGTGTGTGGCAGGGATGGAGGATAGATAATAGGATGGAATATAAATTCTCCTACCGAGAATTTATGATTACTAATAATCTGGACTAGTCTGAGGCACAAACCTCCACAAGCATGTTCTGTTGCTGTGTGGGTTTTCTGAGCAACGGTCACGGACTTGCTTTTAAAGGGAATTCAAGTAGTAAACATTTTTGGAAGCTTAGAACCAGCATCTCCCTTTGGGTCATTTGGCAGATTGATTTCCTGACTACTATACTACAGCCACCCCCCATCAGCAAAGTCATTCCAGGATAACAAAGTTATCCTCCTCTCCTCAGAGATGATTCAACACTAAAGATAACGTCTTGATCCTGCTCCAGAGAGGAGAACACACAGGACAATAACAGCCAGCCCTAGGTAATCAGAGTCAGATCCTAATTTCAGATCTCCCCATCTGTAGTGCGGCCCACTGCATGTACTGGTAACCTTTGGCTCTTCCAACATCTCGAGGGAGTGCAGAGCTGGTTCTGATATGGCTATTGTTTTTGCTATAGGTGATAAACTATATTTCTAGTCCAGAATTCTTATGTCTTTGCAGGTAAGGTTCAAACACTTCAGTCTCTAACTTAATAGACACTCTACTATTCTAATAAAATCTAATAAAATAATAAAATTTGATTTTCTAAGCACGTACACACTGCTCATGTAGAAAAGTTCCATTTAAAGTGGCACAGATTTTTAAATATATAATCTACAGTTTCTGAAATATATATTACTACACAGAAAAATAAGAGATTCTATGCATTCCTATGACAGCATATTGCATACAAGCAATATCAGAACCAGTATATTCCAGTGATACAATACATTCCACTTGATGATTGTGGTATCTTATTGTTCTTTTAACTTTTCAGTTATCTAGGGGGTAATGTAGTTATATTTTCATTTGCTTATTTGCCATTACTTTAACTGGTAAAATGTCTGTTCATGTATTTGACTTATTTTGTAGCTGGAGAATTTGTCTTTTATTGTCAGAATTTTAGAGTTTCCTTATATGTGTTTCACACTAGTCATTGGTTTCACATAATTGGTGCAGCCATGTGAAATGTCTTCTTTAACCTGTTGGAATAGTGGATTACATTGTTTGATTTTCAAGTGCTGAACCAGCTCTTATACCTGAAGAAAAATCCAACATCCTCAGGATACATAATTCTTTTCACCTCAATATTTTGTGAAGGATGTTTGCATAATATTATAAGTCCTTATTTTCCTCATGTGAATATAAATGCATGCTCTGTGTGCTTTTGGCATCAGGGTAATACTCTCAGGAAATTTCTTTAAGAGATTGTACTATAATTGGTGTTAATTCAGCCTGCAATTTTTGGTAGATTTGTCCAATTAAGTAATTGTACCTGGGGACTCCTTTATCTGTACCTTTTAAATTACAAACTCCTCTTACGGTTATAAGGCTATTCATGTTGTCCATTTGATTTTGATCGAGTTTTGGTAGTCTGGGGAATTATTCCATATTTTCTACATTTTTTAATATATAAGCATAAAGTTGTTCATAGCATTTTATTAGCCTTTCAATGGATAAAGTCTCTAATGATCTCTATTTTATTTTTGATATTGGCAGCTGTTTTTTTCCTTCTTTTTTGTAAGATTTATTTATTTACTTGAAAGTCAGAATTGCAGAGAGAAAAGGAGAGAGACATCTTCTGTCTACTGGTTCCCTTTCTCAGATGGCCACAACAGATGGGACAAGACTAGGCCAAAGCCAGGAGCCAGGGGCATTTTGCAGGCCTCCCACATGGGTGGAAAGGACCTAAACATTTGGGCCATCTTCTGTTGCATTTCCCAGGCCATTAGCTGAATCAGAAGTGGAACATCTGGGATTCAAACCAGCCCCTATATGGGATCCTGGTGCCACAGGCAGCAGCTTTACCTGCTATGCCACAACCCTAGTCCCATATATTTTCTTTTTCTTTCCACTTTGTTATTCTTTTACTGTATATTTTGAAGATATTAAGGCTAATGTCTGGCATTCTTAATTTATTTTATTTTTTCTTATTTTTATCATGATTTTATATATTTTCTTGTTTTTAATTTTATTTCATTTCTTTGGCTTGTGTTGAGTCTATTTGTCCTTTTTCCTCTAGTGCATGGGATAGGAAATTAGAAAAGAGAAAAGTTGCAAATCAATATCCTAACGAAAGCATGAAATATTATATGTCTATGCACTGCATTATCTACATCCCATAAATTTGCTATGGTATATTTTCATTTTATCTTCCTTGTAATTCATATATTGTCCTGAAATGAATTATTTGATTTCAAAATGCTTGAGGATTTTTTTTCTGTTTTCTTTCCACTATTGCCTTCTAGTTTAATTTTATTGCGGTCAGAGAAACTGCAATACTTCATTTTAAAAAAGTTTTTGAGGGTTGTTTTATGTGTCAAGATATAGATACATTCTAGAAAAGCTTCTATGGGCACATGAGAAATTAGTATTCTTCTGTATTTGGATGGAATACTTTATAATTATCAATTTGATCCTTTTGGTTGATAACACTGTCTTGGCCTTTTCTATATTTATGTTCTATAATGTTCCATTGCATAAATGATATTTGTAGATCTTTTAACATTGTCATGTTAATTTTGAATTTTTTCTTTCCATTTTTCTTTCATATATTTTGATTCATTATACATTCTTAGACTAACTACACATACATGTGAGATCTTCTTGGTGGGTTGATTCTTTTATTCCCCAATTAGGCAGTGTCACTTTTTGTATTCAATGATTTTCGTTGGTCTGGAATAGATTTTATCTGATATTAATATATCAACTCATCCACTCCTGAATTATTTATTTTAAAGCAGAGTTAAAGAAAAAGAAAGAGGTATATTTTATCCACAAAAACTGCTGGGACTAAGGTCAGAACGAGGAACCATAACCCCATCTGAGTCTCCCATGTGGGTGTCAAGGGTCCAAGCACTTGAGCCATCTTCTGCTGTTGTCCCAGGCACATTCGAAGGAAGCTGGGTGGGAAGTAAAGCAGCCAGGACTTGAACCAGCACTCATATATAATGCTGGCATTCCAGGTGGCAGCTTAACCCCCTGTACCACAGTGCCAGCCCATATACCTGAGTTTAAAATTAGTGTTGTATAACATAAGAAATCTTCCACCTGCTGGTTCACTCCCCAAATGGCTGCAATAGCCAGCACTGGGCCAAATGGAAGCCAGAGGCCCGGAGTTTCACTCAAGTCTCCCACATGGGTGTCAGGGGCTCCAATATTTGGACCATCTTCTGAAGATTTTCTCAGGCCATTAACAGGGAACTAGATCAGAAGTAAAGTATGCAAGACTGGAACCGGCACCCATATCAGATACCTGTGTCTCCAGTGGTGGCTTTACCCGCAACTCCAGAACCTAGACCATTTCCTTTTAAAATAATTAGTACAATATAAGAGATTAATTCTTCCTTTTTTGTTTGTTTTCCATTTCTTTGTTTCTTGTACCTCTGTTTCTCATTTGAGGTTTTTGTTTGTTTGTTTGTTTGTTTGTTTTGTTTTGTTTTTTTGACAGGCAGAGTGGACAGTGAGAGAGACAGAGACAGAGAGAAAGGTCTTCCTTTGCCTTTGGTTCACCCCCAATGGCCGCTGAGGCCGGCGCACTGTGGCCGGCGCACCGCGCTGATCCGAAGCCAGGAGCCAGGTGCTTATCCTGGTCTCCCATGCAGGTGCAGGGACCGAGCACTTGGGCCATCCTCCACTGCCTTCCTGGGCCACAGCAGAGAGCTGGCTTGGAAGAGGGGCAACTGGGACAGAATCCAGCGCCCTTACCGGGACTAGAACTTGGGGTGCTGGCACCACAAGGCGGAGGATTAGCCTATTGAGCCATGACACACGCCTTCATTTGAGTTTTTTAAAATATTGTTTTATTTATACTTCTTTTTTTTAAGATTTTATTTATTTGAGAGGTAGAGAGAGAGAGAGAGATAGAAAGGTCTTACATCCATTGGTGCGCTCCCCAAATACCTGCAACAGCTGGAGCTAGGCTGATCAGAAACCAGGAGCCAGGAGCTTCTTTCGGGTCCTCCCATAAGGTGCAAGGGCACACATATTGGGCCATCTTCTACTGCTTTCCCAGGCCATAGCAGAGAGCTGGATCTGAAGAGGAGCAGCCAGTACAAAAACCAGAATCTGTATAGGATGTTGGCACCTCAGATGGAGGCTTAGCCTACTATGCCACAGTGCCAGCCCCTATTTATACCTCTTTTGAGTAAAGTCTTCAGTAATTTTCTTAGTAAGTGCCCCAGGTCTGTCTGTCTCTGCCTCTCTCACAGCATATAAATACAAATATATGTACATAGCTATCAATACTTGCTGATAGTTTTTACCACATTGAATTATTGAGATTTAATTTTATGTCCATTTTTGGTCTTTACTTTTTACATGTATGTCTGAAATATTTCATGTACATTTGTTGTGCAACACAACAGGTATTGTTACAAGTTTTTCTTCAGTCATCATGTACAGTTGAAGAAACTCATGAGAGGGGCCAGTGCTGTGCTGTAGCAGGTAAAGCCACCGCCTGCAGTGCCAGAATCCTATGTGGGTGATGGTTCGAGACCTGGCTGCTCCACTTCTGATCCAGTGCTCTGCTATGGCCTGGGAAAGTAGTGGAAGATGGCCCAAGTCCTTGGGCCCTTGCACCCACATGGGAGACCTGGAAGAAACTCCTGGCTTCAGATTGGTGCAGCTCCAGTCATGGCAGGCATCTGGGAGTGATCCGGTGGATGGAAGACTTTCTCTCTCTGCCTCTGCTTTTCAAGTAAAAACAAATAAATCTTAAAAAAAAAAAAAAAACTCATGAGAGAGAGTAAATGTATTAAATCCAGCAATCTAAGGTTACCAATCCTAAAGTTCTTCTTTCTTTTGTGATGAATCAACTCTTCTTTCAATATTTCCCCTCTGGTTGGAGAGTTTTCCTTAATGGTTTATTAAAAAAAGGTGTGTGTGTGGAGGGGACTCTAAGAGCAAGACGTTTGGCTCAGCAGTTAAGACATTGCTTGGGATGTTTGCATCCCATATAGGTGTGTAGGAATTTGAGTCCTGGCTCAGCTGGCTTCCTGCTGATGCACCTTCTGGGAGGCAGAGGGCTCCCAGAAAGGCTGAGGCACTGATCATCCTTCTAGTGCTAGGTAGTGTGAACAATGGAATTTACTGCTTTCTGCAGGTGTGGAATGGCCATTCTTATAAACCCATCAGTCAGCACTTGCTGGCGGTTGTGAGAGATGTCCTGGTTCACCGTGAAAGTGTCTGGGTTCCACTGAAGCCTCTGCTGCAGACACTTGAAGTCTACTGTTGACAAAAGATGGGGGATTGCAGATGATTTGGTTTTTCAAATTCTGCTTCCACCATTGCAGGAGGAAAGTCAAGTAATTTTACTATGGCCACTGTCTATACAGAAGAGAATTACTTTTACTTAAAATGTTATTTTGCAGTTTTGCCTGCATTTGTTGGTGCATCTAGCTTTTTAGGCTCCTTGAGTGCCTCGTGCAGAATGTGCGGCAGACAAAAAGAAAACCTGAGAAATTTCCTTCAGGGATGGTCTTCAAGTCCTAAGGTCTCTCGCCATCCCCTACATTCTAATTTGAATCTTTAGTGACTTCTTAAGACCATTGAGTTTTTGCTAGAGTTATCTGACTATATTTAAAAAGTGAGCCTATGCCATGCCATGTTCCCCACTACCCCAGTGGATAGCTACTCCTGCCACAACTTTTATCTTCAACTTCTTCCATTTTCATAACCTGAATACTATATATATATGACCTCTTTTCCCAACTGTTGGACATCTTTTTCTATTCTTTCTCTTTCCAAAATTGTGCTTTGTCAAAAGTCAGCTCTCTAAGGAACATTGGAAAAATGTATTGATCAGGCAAAGCTAAGTTTATTAGTCTTGTTATAGAAAGGCAGGACACTACCTTGACAGAATAGTAGTAGTGTCAGCAAAAAGATCAGAAACAGTCTGACTTCTGTTCTACAAACTTTATCTCCTTATAATTTGCTTGTCTAATTTTTTCTCCCCATCTTTTTTTATATGCATGCTTCCTCTGAAATTACAAACATTGCAAGGCTTATAAAGACCCATTTTCAACAGAATTGTTCTGAAAGACATCTGGATAAAACTGCAGCATCCCCTAGCAATAGTCATGACAGCCCAGAACGATTTTCAGCTATCTCAAAAACAGGTTTTGCAGCAGTTGGAGAATGAAGGAAACGGTTACCTCAGCTAAACCAGAAGACACATATGCCTGTCCTCAGTCTGTCAAACTGTGGAATACTTTAGCTCAGTTATTTGAACTATACCTGCTCTCTTATGCATATCAGCTGAATAAAGTCTTTAAACCATGATTTTTTTTTCTTTTTTTGCCACATCTCAAGGTAAGTAAATTAGGTAAAGATGGTTGCAGAAATTTATGTGCTCTACTTTGTTATTTTTAATCAGTGATGAGGTAATGGCTGGGGAAGGACTGATTTTAGGATGGTCATGGTCATTTGTTTAGCCTAGCTAGAAGACTTCCCTGAAATGAATTGTCATAGACACTGTTTTACTTCATTTGTAATCTTATCTTCCAGGAACAACACATTGGAAAAAGTAGCTGTATATTTTTTTTTAATTTATCTATTTATTTGAAAGAGAGTAACAGAGAGAGGGGGAAGACACTATGAGAGAGATCCTCTATCTGCTGGTTCACTCCTCAAATGGCCACAATAGCTGGGTTAGGCCAGGGTGAATCCAGGAACTCTATCCAGGCCTCCTCAGTGGATAGTAGGGACCCAAGAACTTGGGCCATTTTCTGCTGCTTTCCCAGGTGCATTAGCAGGGGGCTGGTTCAAAAGTGGACCAACAAAGACTCAAACTGGCCCTTATATAGGATGCAAACATCACAGGCAGCAGATTATCCTGCTATGCCATAATGCTGGTCCCTATTTTAGTTTTTAATGTCTGTTCCAGTAGTATTTCAACTAGTTACAAAGGTAAGTGTCTGAGCAGTGGTTAGGATGCCGCACTAAATACGCTCATCCCATATCAGAGTGCTGATTCCTAACTACTCTGCTTTGGATCCAGCTTTTTGTTAATATGCACCCTGGGTGGCACCAGATGATGGTTAAAATACTTGGGTATTTGGTACCCATGTGTGAGACTCACTGGGATCTGGGCTTTGTCCTGATCCAGTCCTGGCTTTTGAAGGCATCTAGGATGGAGGTAGGAGATGAAAGAGTACTTATGAGGTCTCTCTTTGTAGGCTGTCTGTGTCTCCATCATTCAAATAAAATGAAAACAGATAAATAAAAATTGAAGAACATAATTAAGTAAATACAACAGTGTATGTTTGACCCCAACATTTTTCAGTATAACAATATGTGTGGTTCTAAGATTATTTAGTATCCGCACTTGAAAATTTTTAAATTTTTATTTACTAGCCATATATTCAGTATTACCTTGCATTTATTTATTGTAATTATTTATAATTGCAGCTATTACAACAACGATAATTATTTAACCATTATAGACATTGATAGTTGCAGGCCAAATAGTATTTTATTCATCTTTGTAAGCCATTTGGTGAGTGTTTTGTAGGCATAAAATGCAAAGAAGTTTATTTATATTAAGAGACATATTTAGAGGATAACAACTTTATGAGTAAAGCCCAATACCACAAAAATTTAATACATTTCTAATCTATGTTGAACTGTATTAAATCATTTGCTTACTATAACCCAAGGTTTAGCCTAAGGTATATCTGGATTAAAAGCATGCATTTCTCTTCCATGGATAAAGATCTTTGAGATTACATTTCTGTTCTCAATTAAATCATATTCTAACCAAAAATGAAGTCTTTCATATAATTTAACAGATACATAAGGTGTATCAAGGACCCCTCCATGTAAAATGCAACCAACAGATAATCTGTGTCCCTTTGATTCATTCAGTAGTCACAGAAAGGAAAATGTTAAATATCAAATAAGAGATTTACATTTAAGGCAATGAAATATCAACAATTTATGAAGTTTCATCTTATTTTCTCAATCTTTTATGCCTTTTCAGACATATTTTATTTTCAGGAATGTTGATAGGATGAAAAACTGATTGCAAGAAACATTTGTTACATAACATCTGCAAGGAGGGGATAAATAAGTGCTTTTGATTTCTTATCACCCAGAAATATTGGGACCAGTGTTGTGGGATAGCAGGTAAAGCTGCTGCCTGCAACACCAGCATCCATATGGGTGCTAGTTGGTGTCCTGACTGCTCCACTTTCAATCCAGTTCCCTGCTAATAGCCTAGGAAAAGTGGTAGAAGATGGCCCAGGTGCTTAGCCCCTGTTACCTATGTGGGAGACTTGAAAGAAGCACCTCTCTGTGGCCTGTCCTAGATGTTGCTGTTGTGGCTATCTGGAAAGTGAACCAGTAGATGGAAAATCTTTCCCTCTCTCTCTCTCTCTCTCTAACTCTGACTTTCAAATAAATAAACATATCCTTTTAAAAACCACAAAATGTACAGAATATCATCTTCCCCTAGGTTTATGCATCAGTAAAAATAGACTTATTACTAAAGGTGACATAATAGGGTAAAATGATTTAGGTAAAATTTTTGTCATGTGATTTCAGTGCTGTTTTAACTTTTATTTTTAAGGATTTATTTATTTGAAGGCATAGCTATAGTGAGAGAGAGAGACCACCAGCACTAGCTTCCATCCAATGATTCACTTCCTAATTGGCCCAAATCACCAAGGCTGGGTCACACTGAAGCCAGGAGCCAGCAACCCAGTGCAGGTCTTCCATGTGAGCGGCAGGGGTCCTACTACATGGATCATCATCCTAAACCATCCCATATACATTAGGAGGAAGCTAAATCATAAGCAAAGTAACTGGGACTTGAATCAGCACTCTGACATGAGATGCCAGCACCATAAGCAAATACAAATACCCTAACAAAATGCTGGCCCCAAGGAGTCTATTTTTAAACAAATAATATTTTTGTTACAATGTTATTAATCTTTGCTGATGTCCTCACATATTTCACATATATGTATGTTGCAAATATCATCCACATATGGTATTCTGAATTTTAGGAATATCTTAAACTTAAGATATTTCCAATGAAGTTAGTTTTCATTTTAATAATACTTTCTGAGTCCAGCATTGAGGCAGATATTGTAGGCAAAATAGGGACCCGCTTTAAAGAAGCTAATATGAACAAGTTTTTTCTACAAAACACAGCTACATTGGTGGATCTTTTACTACAGCAATCCGGAGTAGAGGCACTCCAACAGTATGGGCAATCAGAGGGCAGGTGGAACACAGGTTGACTAGTACAAGTTAATAGAAAAAATAATCATATGTAGAATGTTTCTGCATGTGAGAAGATCCATGGAATAAGTTGAAGGAATATGGCATGTTCTTTCTCCCATGTTTACCAAAAACTATAATTCATAACTTAGTATAGGGAAAACTTTGAGGAATTAAAAGAAAAATAACTTGGGAATCATGTTTTCTATTTTGAATACTTTCATGTAAACATATTGTCTATGGTCAACCAAAAGCCTTTTTTTTTTTAAAGATTTATTTATTTATTTGAAAGTCAGAGTTACACAGAGGCAGAGAGGAAGAGAGAGGTCTTCCATCTGCTGGTTCACTCCCCAGTCAGCTGCAATGGCCGGAGCTGAGCCAATCCAAAGCCAGGAGCTCCCTCTGGGTCCTCAACATGGATGCAGGGGCCCAAGGACTTGGGCCATCTTCCACTGCTTTCCCAGGCCAAAGCAGAGAGCTAGATATGAAGTAGAACACTCTGGACTCAAACCGGCGCCCATATGGGATGGCAGTACTGCAGGTGGCGGCTTTACCCACTATGCCACAGTGCTGGCCCCCCAAAGGCTTTTCTATCCTTAAGAGGTTGCTAGCCAGTCAGGAAAGCCCAATAATCATTTCATGAGATTCTTGTACCATCTCTCCAGAGCAATCACTGCTATTGAAATATGCAGGCTGGTGTCCCAGCTGCTCCACTTCTGATCCAGTTCTTTGCTAGTGGACTAGGAGGGCAAGAGAAGATGGCCCAAGTACTTGGCCCTCAGCCACTCACATGAGAGACCTGGATGAAGCTCTTGGCTTGGCCTGGGTCAGCCTTGGCTGTTGTGGACACTTGGTGAGTGAAACAGCTAATGGAAGATATTTCTCTTTCTCTTACTTCTCTGTAACATAAGTAAATAAATCTTTGAACACATTTTGGAAACTTTTTTTTAAGAGTTCAACTAAAAAATACAGTGTCTAATCTTTTTCTTTCAAATTTACCTACATCTACATTGTCTATTAAAGCACACCAGATGTTCTGAAATGAAATTGGAGTTCTGTACAAATATACTTAGTAAATGTATAATAGGAAGGTATTTATTCGAACTTGTTTATATTTTATTAAGAATAAACTAAGTCACTAAAATTAAGTCCTTACAAGATAAAATTCAAAGGAATTAAAGTTAAAACACAACTTCTTAAATGTTAAATTTCTTCAGCTTGAATTAAAGGGCTTTTTATACAGAAACTTGTGTAGAGTTGGGATTGTTGGCAAGCAGTAAAGCTTATGTCATTTTTATTCTTTTTAAGGGTGAGGTTACTTTAGACCTTCAGGAATTGAAATAGTCATTGGTCTTTATCTTATGTGACTAATTTTAAGAAAGACCTTAGAATTATTGATAGCCAAAGTTATCATAATACAAGCCCTCTATAAACAAACTTTAGGATTCAAGCTAAACTCTGGGTCAAGGGATAGGCATGTCTAAGGAATTTATTTTCCCAGGATGCAGTATTGAATTTGATAAACAGCCATTTTGCCAAAGACTATAAACACATTCACTTATATCCAAGGAATATGAGATAGGCTGAGAACCGACTTGGTTTCAGTCTACTATTATAAAAGTCAATTTATGATAATTGTACAGAGAATAAGACCTTTGAATTTAAAATAAATTTGGAGATATCACCTACCATAAGACTATCCTGGACACTTTGCTGTTTTCGAAGGTGAATTGAAATTGAGGGATTTCCATTTACTTGCCAAATTCATAATTTTATAAAAGTTGCAACCCCTGTGTTGCATGAAGAGACCTTCTTTTTAAACCATAATTCAGATCTTCCTAATTTAAGCTTTGCCTTTGAGTGCCATGTTTCTTACCACCCAGTGGCAACTTGTCTGTGCACTCAAAGTGCCCTTCTCTTGGTTGTAAGCCAATGTTTTAAATCTAGAATAAAAAAAAAAAAAAGACTGCTATGCTGCATTTTTTGCTGATCCACTGGCCCATGTTTTGGAGAATTATGACTCTGGAAGATGCAGAGGAAAAAATCAGTGTCAGACAATATTCAATATACCTGTCATAAACACTTCCTGCTTTGACTTGCAGTTTTCTTGTTTGTGTTTGCTATATCTCACCGTAGTGGATGAGACCCTCTAGGATCTCAAGGGGTTCTATCATTCCTTCTGGTTTTCAGTATGACTAAGCTGAGACTCTGACCATATAGCCTAATTCTTAAATTGGTCCCTTTCTCTTGGCTTTTCTACTTGACAGGAAAATTCAGTTCAAGCAAGAAAAATACATTCTAGCCTCTAGTGTCTATAAAGCTTGTATAAGTTAATGAGAATGTCCAATTGTCCATGGAAAACAGATGGAATGCAACATCTTTAGCTAGTTCTTCTTTGCCCTAAGACACGTTGCTTTAAGCATTTAATCACTTTTGGGAAAAATAATAGGGTAACAAATATAATAAACATGGAGAAAATAGCTTAGAACAAAAACAGGTTATGAAAATTAGAATATTGTCATAACTTTATGATACTGTGTATATTACTTGCCATGTGTATTGATAAATGTTGAGGAAAGAGAAGACTACTTATAAAAATATATTTGAAAATGCAATGTCTAAACTGGGTTTCACACTCTGTAAGGAATTGAAAGTGTTTTAAAATAACATTGTAGCAATTGTTTTAAAGGTATTAAAATATTGGACATTAATCAATTAGGTTATCTCCTCTTCAGTGTAATCTGCTCTTGCCACCCCAAAAGTGACGTCTGGATTTTTGGTTGGTTAAAAAAAATACATTACCTGAGATATTCTGTTTTTTTGCAATATTTGTGGCTGTAACTAAAAATATATAACATTTTAGGTGAGAATTATACTTAAGGAAAAACCTGTTTTATATGCTTTTGAGGAAAGTATACATGTTTTTAAAATCTTTATCTTCTCATGAGAAATTGCTCTAAACATGGATAATAAGGCACTGTAAGTTCTAGGCTATTTCATTAAACTGATCCATGTAATTTTTCACATGTTTGTGTACAAATGTACATACATGTATATATACACATAAACACACTAATGAATAGAAACATTTAGTACCCTCCCCAGTGAATCTAAGGAAATCATTGCCTTTTATTTCCAGCACTCATTCAGATTCAAGGTAATACATAGAATTTTCTACCTATTAACCATGTACACGTTTTAATATTAAGATTGCTTTGTTAATATGTACTATTGGTAGTTAATATAGTAAGTCTTAATAGCTATACATTAAGCCTTAAATTAGTTATTATTTTTCTTTCATTCTTCTTAAGAATCCATAATGCTTCTTATCTAGGACCTTTGTATCAATCAGCCTTCTTCAGAGAAATAAATGATAGGAGAAAGATAGATGACAGATTTTTATGGGAATTGGTTCACTCAGTTATGGAATTGAGAATTTCCATGATACATTTTTTCAAATTGTGATTGGTAGAATTCCATTTCAGTCCAAAGGCCTGAGATGTGGGGTGACAGAGGACTCTGTTATAATTTCCAGAGTGTGTAGACTTAGTATCTTGGAGTCCTGATGTCCTGTAGCAAGAGCAGAGGAGTGTCACAGCTCCAGTAGAGAAAGAGAATTGTCTTTATTTTGCCTTTTGCTCTATAGGGGCCCTGAACATCTACACTGTGTGTGTGGGGGGGAGGTCTTTCTTATTTAGTTCCCTTTTCAAAGGGTATTCTCTTCCCAAAATACCCTCACATATGTACCGAAGAATTAAGCTCTACCAGCTATCTGGCTGTCCCTGTCAAGTGGACACATAAAATTGACCATCAAAGACTCCATCCACATAAAAAAAAAATTCCTAATAGTAACAACAATATTATGATCAAGTATACACTGTGCATCTTTTCAGTCCTTCCTAGGAATTTCCTCCTTTGTTCCTCCCACCATGCCAGGATGTAGGCTTAGCTTTTCTCATGTTGCGAATGGTAACACTGAGCACTCAGGTATTAGGTAAGTGCACATGTAAGGTCCTTG